TGTATTATAAGCCTGGAACTAATTTATCTTCACATGGAGCTTTGGGGGGTTTTTTTGGTTGGTTGGATTAAGTGTATGATGAAGCTGGCATGGTAACCCCATAAATGTTCATCCTGGGACAACTACTAGGGTAGTGTATCCTCATAGCATGAGAAAAGAATGGAAAATGAAAAAGAGGAATATATTTTTACTGTCAAACAAACATACTGTGGAAACAGTTTTAAGTCAGGTGACCAGAGAGCAATCATTAAGATAAATGCCTTAAAATTTAACTACCAGCATAGTTTTACTGATTAACACTTATAAAACCTAGTTTGTTGCCATACAAGCAGCTATGCAAGACAATCTTGTAACTTCTCAATCATTTCAACAAGCAATAGCATACTACTTTATTTGACAGAATATGCTTTATAAAATCCTGTGAATATTTGTAAAATGTATTGTTCAATTAACTTACATCACCTCTATCATTCCTTTATTCCAAGCTCAAGTTCATAACATACTTCAAAAATGTCTCTTTTCAGACAAGAGCACCTATTAAATGTGATCAATTCTAGTTGATTTAAAGACTAGCAGTGTATTACAAACTGACCAGAATACCTCTCTACTGGTTCAGAATAGCAGTAAAACTGCAGTAACAACATACAAATACAAACCATAGATGCAGAGAAAAAGAATTGCTCAGAAAAAACGCTATATTTAGACTACCTTAAAAAAAGGAAGTTCATATATAACTCTACAAATAATTGTGAAAACATAACTGTAGGGTTGCAAAAACAAAGAAACTTAGAGACTTCTCCCATCAACATCTACTCAGCCAAGAAGGCTTAAAAATAGCCTCAGGTACTGCACCTGCCTCTGTGACCCCTGTCATTTTTTGTGGTTCATGGTCATGCTTTCCTATTTTTAAAACAAACTTCTCTCCATCCTCTGACAGAAATATCCACACTTACAGCAGAAGAAAGCTACGTACAAATGTAAAGGAAACGAGGACAAGTGACAACATATCTAATTCTTGACAAGTACATATAAATCTAGTATTCTTGTTACTTGCCTTTAAAGTTTAGCCTATTCAACACTGTCCAGTAAAATACTAGTATGCAATTAGTCAGTAGCATTAGTAATATTACAGTAATGCTCAAATCAACAGGAAGTTACCTTCACATCCTCTAGAAATACACCATAGCTAAAAAAAAAAAAAGGTAAAAAAATAAAAAAATCATTAGAGAAAGAGGTTCTTCTATTCACATTTGACTTCTAAGGGCTAAAATTGGGCAAATAAATACGGTAGACAGTGCTGTTACAGCAGCTATAAAAAGATACAGTTAAATGAAATGATGTTAATACTGGCTCACTCTTTTATCTGAAACAATCATGATAATGATACTGATTTCTCTGTCCTGATCTCTTCCACTCCACATTATTCTGGAAAAATACTGTACAGTATTGTAAATCAGTAACATCTGGCAAAGTGGAAAATTAGTGTTCTTTTTGTTATCTTGCTGTCCAATCAAAATTGTTCAAAAAGTCATATAGTTCTTGGCAAGGGCTACACATGGGTAGGTTAGCCATGGAACTGAACTACTAGCCTTAATGTCACCTTAGGCATTATTATATTTTGAGTAATTACATGTTAAATTAAATGTTTTCTCTCCTCATAGAGCCGTAATTCTTAGTTATTTGTTATTGTTAAAAATAATACTATTTAAAGTATTAAAAATAACCACATGATGAGGCTCCATGCTACACCTTGCCTTTTGAGTCACAGAATTCAAATAATGCTCCCAAAAACAAGTCTCTTAGGAATATCTAGGTTCTGATTTGCACAAGTTTGCAGAAGGCAAGTCCCAGCCTGAATTTATCATTGAAGGGCTGAGGTTTTCTATTTGAAAATGCTTACTCTTAAACTTCAGGATTAGAAGTTAGTCTGTATCATGTCAACATCTGATGCATCTGAGAAACTTCCTTTTTCCATGGTTCTAAAGATTTGACTGTTAGTTGCATTTTTCACAACAGTAAGTAACAGTTTTCACCACAATCATTTTTTATCCTCATCAACAGAAGATCTTTTGTTTTCTTCTTACCACAAAAGTGAAAACAAAACAGACAAAAATACAACTGAAGGGTTTTCATTTTTTGTTTCATTTTAAGTAACGACTGCTACCCATAAAACATCTAACATTTAGTTACTCCAGTTAACTTATCAGTTTTTTTCATACTGCCTCCCACCATGGTGGGAGAAAAAAATAATTAAAGTTATTATTGAAATTATTAAATTTAATAATTAAATTGTTGATATTTATATTTATATACTCTCTCTACCATTAAATCAGGGTGGGAGAAAAACATATTATCTACTTTCCAGGCGCAGTGTTGTCTGCAACTTCCACTACTGAGGCTGTACTAGAAGATCCATGAAAGCATTTACTAAAGCACCTCCCTTCTCAAAAAACACCAAACAAACCCTTGCCAAGGTGTCTGAAGACATACTCAGTACCACTTATCCTTATATTTACAGGAAATCTCTATGAAAACTTCTTCCTCCATCCTATCAAATAGCTGTTCAAGCTGGTCCAATCATGTGGCCGTGGTTCCTCCAACCCTAAAGTTTATGAGTCCTAATTCTCATGCAAAGCTTTCAAAATATTTCCACTCACGAACACCTCAAAAACCTCAGGATTTAGCACACACGCGACTTCACTGTAATGCAGAGGCCAGGATTTACCACATTCACAACCAAAACACCCTTGTCAGGACTGAGCTAGAGAAACAGCACCGACACCCCCTCCCTACGGGAAAGGGACCACTCTTT